ACACAGCTTGGACTCATAGTGATCCTCCTGTCTCAGCCTCTCCAGTGCTGGGTTCACAGGTGTGAGCCACATCACCACTTTGGTGGCTGGCACTGCACACCTGGGTTTCCAGTGCCAGCACAGCATGGGAACCTCAGGATCAAACCCAGGTCCTTGTGCTTGCCAGGCAGGCACTTAGACTGCCGAGCTATCTCCTCAGCCCCAGAGCAAAGTTTTATTAATCTTGAAATATCTTTTTTTCCTATTGTTTTATCATTATTGCATTTAATAGATATTTACTGTACATCAATTTTATTCATCTGTCTATCTTATTATTGCAAATCTGTCTTATATTGCTAAGGGTGGTATAGTGGTAGCCTTTATTTATTCGTATGGTGTGGCAATGTCTAGTTAATGCTTGAGCCAGTAAAAAAAATTGACAACTCCCTTTCAGACATGACTGCCATCGTCTAGTAATTTACCAAAATGACAAACACAAAGGGAAAGAGGGAGGAACCCTGGTATATGCTCTCTAGGCCTTTTAGAAAACTCAGGGCTGGACCAGGGAGATGTCTCAATAGAATAAACACTTCCCTAGCAAGCACAAGGGCCTGAGTTCAATCCCTGGTTCTGCAAAAATAAAAAATCCTCAGGGTTGTTCCTTGGTTATACATATGGGAATGCACAAAAAAGGCGATATTGTACACATCAAGGGAATGGGTACTGTGCAAAAAGTAGTGTCACACTAATGTTACCATGGAAAGACAGGAAGAGTCTACAGTGCTACCCAGCATGCTGTTGGCATTGTTATAGACAAGCAAGTTAAGGGCAAGATACTTGCTAAGAGTATTAATGTGCATATTGCACAAATTAAACACTCAAAGAGTTGAACTAGCTTCCTGAAACATGTCAAGAAATATGATCAGAAAAGGATGGAAGCCAAAGAGAAAGTCCCTGGTTCAACTGAAGCGCCAGCCAGCCCCACCCAGAGAAGCACACTTTGCGAGAATCAGTGGGAAGCAGCCTGAGTTGCTGGAACCTGTGCCCTATGAATTCATGGCACAAGCTGGGGATGGAGCTCTGCCACTCAGCACCTAAACAGTGGTTAGGTGTTCTAGGCCCTACTTAAAAACAAAAAATTGCCCTGGGTTTTTATTTATTTATTTATTTTAGACTCACTATGCAGTTTGGGCTGGTCTTGTGCTCACTTTTGTAGCCCCCAGGCTGGTCTAGAACTTACAGCGATCCTCCTGTCTCAAGTGCTGGGATTTCAACTATGCGCAACCATGCCTGCTTAGGATGGTTTTCTTTATTAAACAGAAACAAATATTTGAAGCAGATTTTCCTTATACCTAGTTAATTGTGTGGTCTTTATTCTTCAATGTTTTTCTGGCTGAAAGGTATTGCTGAGGTATTGTGTAGGTGTATACCCACGTGGCCGAATATTTATGAAACATTTATATTGGCTTGAAGATCCAGTAAATCAACGTGGGGGAAAGATGTATCAATGAAATGGAAGTCACTATATGGCAATTCAGTGAAATAAATTGTTTAAAGCACATACACACAAATACCACACACACACACACACACACACACACACACACACACACACAAGACAATTGAAATGAATAGACACTTCTCAGAATAAGAAATACAAGTACATGAAAAATACATAGAAAAATGTTCAACATTTCTGGTCATTAGAAAATGCAAGTAAAACCAACACTGAAATTCCACATTATAAAGAAAGGCAGCCACCAAACAAACCATCAAACAAACAAATACCCTAAAGAATAACATATGCTGGCAAGGCTGCTGGGAATAAAGAACGCTTTACTATGTTTGGTAGGAATACAAACTATCGCAACCACTATAGAAATCACTATGGAGGTTCCTCAAAAACCTGAAATTAGAAATTGCATTCAACCTAGCTGTTCCCCTTCTAGGTACATACCTAAGAGAGGTAACGACATCATATTACGGTGATACACACACATGCGTGTTTACAGCAGCACCACGCACAGTAACCCAATCCTGGAAGAAGCCTGTGTGTCTATCAATTTATGAACGGATAAAGACAATGTGTTTTTTATAGCCAGTGAAATACTACTCTGCCAAAAAGAAGGATACTTTGAGTTATTTGTAGGAAAATGGATGGATCTTGAGACCATCCTACATGAAATAAATCAGATCCACAAATTCAAATATCACATGGTTTTTCTTGTATGATAAATTCAGAGGATAAATAATTTAAAGAACAAAATAAGATAGATAATAAGAAACAGGGCAGTAAGTCTTTGGTGAAGGAGACCAATAGAGGGCTTACGGGGGAGTTAAAGGAGGGGAGAGGAAGCAAAACAATGATGTGTTACATACCTGCATGAACTCTCCACAATGAATGTAATTATCATGTACTGCAAACATGTACTAAGAAAATTTTAAACAGATGAAATATTCTAAGAGCTGGCTATAGCAATAGCTGACCAAGACACCCACTTTTCTGCAACACTGATGGAAGTCCTAGCCAGAGCAATTGGGCATGGGAGAGAAATATAAAGGGCATCTTCACTGGAAAGAAGTCAAATTATCACTGTATATAACATGATTTTATATGTAGAAAAATCCCTAAAACTCCAAAACTACTAAAATAAATGAATTTAGCAAAATTTCAGGATATATTTTCTTTCTCTTCTGCTTCTCCTCCTCCTTTTCTTTCTCCTTCCTCTTCTTATTTTTTGCCTTTTGGAACAGCGTCTTGCTATGCAGTTCAGGCTGCCCTTGAATTCCCTTTGCAGCCCGGGCTGGTCTCCAACTCTCAATGATCCTCCTGCCTCATCCTCCTCATCAGTGCTGGGACTACAGGCATGTACCAGATACATGTTGATTAAAGCACTATTCAAATAGCCAAGAAATGGAAACACTCTGTCCATCAACTGATATATGGATAATGTTGTAACTCAAAAATGAGGCAGGCTCAAAAGTTTAAAAAGTGCTTTATTTTAGCTAGTACCCAGTGGCAACACCCGGCACAAAGTGCCTAAGTGCACCCTGAAGGGGGGTGAGTGTGGGGTTTGTAAAGCTTAAAACCACAAAGCAGGTGGGGGACAACTTGGGGAGTTTAAGGAGACATGGCAGGTGTTGAGACTACATATGGTTAGAGGTCTGGAGAAGTTCTTGGAATTTAAGGGTGTAGGAACAGCAGTGGACATTTTTGGAACTCAAGGGTGGGGGGAGGGCTTGCAGAAACAGAAGTTCAGTGAGATAGGCTCACATTTTACAGCAGTTGACATGGAAACAGAAATTCTGTGAGATAGGCACACATTGTACAGCAGCTGACATGGTTCACTAAGACGGCACATACAGAACAGGATGGCGGTTCTTTGGTCAGGTTATAACAGACAAAAAAATGCAATACATGTGCACAGTACGATGCTATGCAGTCATAAAAAAGAATGGAATCCTGTCATTTGTGACAACATGGAGGCATTTGAAAGACATCATGTTAAATAAAACAAACCAGCCATAGAAAAACAAGTATTGCATGATCTCACATACACACAGTCTAAAAGGGGCGTGCTCATAGAAGCTAAGAGTAGAATGGTGGTTAGTGGTGTCCAGGGAGGAGAGGGTTGGAGAAGGCATGAGGGTGGTTGATCAGTGGGTAGTAACATACTCTTGGGAAGGAGGAGGAAGTCCTGGAGGACTAACACATGATGGTGGCTGCAGATTGTGTACTATACATTTCAAGAATTAGAGGAATGCATCTTGAAAGTGTTTGCCACAAAAAATGATAAACCTTTGGGGAGATAAATATGCTGAGCCCGACTTAAAACTTATGCACTACACACAGGTATCAAACATTACAGGTGCCCTTCTGATAGGCACAATACCTAAACTTTTGTTTAAAAAATAAATACTGAAAAGAAAGAAGAAAAAGTGTATGAGAAGCAGATCAGTCTTCTTTACTCAAAGCCTCTAGATCCCAAAGGAGGTGAACCTCGAGCGAGGACAGGGAGCGAGGAGCCCGGAGAGACACCCAGCACGGCTTTGCGCTGGGAATTAACAAGGAAGCAATCTGAAACTCTGAAAGATGATGCTACTAAACAGAAGGGAGGGGGCCCGGGAGATGGCTGAAAAGTTGCTGACTCCGGCCAATAAATTAAGCAAAGCACTATGAGAAAAGGAGCCCAAGTTCATCCTTATACTACAGCCTTTGAGACTCGTCCGTGCTCGGTTCTTTAATCTCATTCTGCATAGCAATCGCTCAGACTCATTCCCTAGTAGGATGGCGGGGTGGAGGGTGGCTCAGCTGATTGCTCTGGAAACCCTCTGGAAGTTACCTTGATCAACAAATAGGGATTTGCTGGGTACCTCAAATGGGCACCAGGGTACCTCACAGAACCCAAGGAAAAGAGCGAGCTGGGTTTCCCGGGCCTAGAGCATCCTTGAGGATTTAGTTTCAGGGAAGGGGAGCCTTCGGGCTGAGCAGATAAAGCAGTTTATCCGTTGCCATTTCGTTCGTTTTTCTTTTTTTCCGCCGACACCAGGGGATGCAGGCGGCTCCTTTCCATTCTCAACCAGTGGGTGTTGTCTGCTAGGAGAGTGGACCGCGCCTTCGGGGACCGAGAGGGCGTGGGCAGTCTGCCTCCGAGGGGTGGAAGCCGGGGGCGGCCGCGGGGCTTGGGGGGTGGCGTCTTGGGGGCCGGGTCTCAGACCCTATAAACTGCCAACTCCCGGAGTTCCTGGTCAGATCCAGGCGAGATGGGCAAGTACACAGTGCGCGTGGCCACGGGGAGCTCGCTCCTGGCGGGCTCTGGCAACTGCGTGCAGGTGTGGCTGGTGGGCGAGCACGGAGAGGCGGACCTCGGAAAGCTGCCGCCGCAGCTGCCCGGCAGGGTCAGTGCAGACCGGGCTGGGCGCGGGGTGCAGTCGGGAGGGGACCGGAGAGGAAGGCGGGAAGCAGCGGAGCGCACCGCTGGAGCGGACGCGGCGGGGCGCGGTTGAGGACAGAGGAAGCTTGGCTCTTGCCGCCGCGTGCTCTTCCCTCCCGCTGTCCCCATCTCCCGGCTGTGTTCCAAGGGATGCGCCCACCTTCTCTGGGGTTCTCGGAGCGCGCTGC